CATCAAAATAATGTCAATCCATCATATAAAGTATCTAGGGTTCATGTAATTTGAGAAAAACTTTAATGAAGAACCAATCTCTTATGGAGAATCAACGAAATTCACAACCTATCTCTAATACTAACTGTTAGAATTTTCTTAATCCATTATGTAATTTCTATTATGCAATGACTATTATGAAATTAACATTTCTCATTAGATCTTGAATTACGTTGTTCTCACAGCACAATACATGGTTCTCATACAATTAAGAGTTTAAAGATTACTAACCTGAATCCATTGTTTCTATATGTTACCTCTCTCTTTGATGTCGTTGATCCCTCTGTATCTTCTCCTAGACCTCTTTCTTCCTGTTTTAGCTCCTCTCAGATGGTTGAGAGAAAGTGTCTTTCTTGCAATTACCGTGAGCACACTTAGAGACCGTGAAAGTGATAGAAAAAATAGGGAACCCCGTAACCTCTATTTGGTAACCACTCTTTTATTTATATGAAGGGAGAGGGGAGGGTTTCCTTATAATTATATTTATAATTATACCCTAATGACTCTATATTTTATATTTAACCACCATCACGTTAAATTATTAATTATAGTCATACTATAAGTTACATAGGCCACTATAATAAGATTATTAAAATAATCTAACAAATGTGTTTATTATGATAAAACATTATAAACTCATAAAATTAAATGGTCAATTCTATTGAAACTTTAAGTATAGAAGAAATATTATACAATCTATCCAAAATTACATTAATTAGTTTGAGAAAATCAAATTATACGAATTTAAATTCAATCTAAATCTTATCCCATAACATAAAGAATTTAGTAACACATATTTATAAAAAAAAAAAGGCAAATAAAAAAACTTCCAATAATATTTAGATAGACACAAACAAGTCTTTTAAAGAATTTAAATGATGAAAATTTAATTGTCACAATTCAAGGCTTCTTTTTGTAACACATTCTTCTACCTCTTCAAAAGAATGAGAAAAAAAAAATGAGAGTCAAGATTCTCATATAGGCTTTCCTATACCTTTATTTTAGTTCAATCTTGACTTTTCTTGCCAAAATATATTTCAATATCCTTCATCATTTCAATTCTAAATACAGGTCAATTAATTTTTAAACCCTTGCAAATCACAATCATAACAAGATTCACGTAACACATATAAGGATAAATAGGTAAAATTGGCAACATATCACAATCTATGATAAATATCAAAAACATTTCATGAGCTATTGAAGTTATTAGATTTTATTTTTCAATTTAGTAAAATTATAAATATTTTAGGATGATCTTTTCCGAATAAATGTAAAAATTTTGAGAAATTTTCGTCGTTACTATTTATTATTTTCTTAATTTTAATATAAATTTTTACCATGTAAAAGAAAATAAAAATATAATGTATTGATGGAAGAGTAAGGACTTTAAGGGAAGAAAAATTAAAGGAAGAAATGAAGCTTTTTCTTATGAGAAATTGAAAAGAGAAACATAACAAGATTGAAAAAAGCTTTTGTAGTGGAAAATGTTTTCTGATTCCTACTAAGATAACATTATTTACCATACAACTATTCATGTTTTCATTTTTTTTAAATTTATTAATACATAAAAATAATTTTCAAAATAAAAACTGAGGATCTTGGTCACTTTACCATTGAGCCAAGGCAACGACCGAGGATCTACTCTCAGGGCTCAAACTTCAAAAACTATATATTTATTTAGCACAGACAATAACAGCTAAGGAACAGCAACGGCTTTTGTTTATCTATGATTCCGTGTTCACATTTACGACATTTTTATATTAGGCAATGCCATTCACACTTTTAGGTAAAGTCTTTTTTTATATTAAATCTTCTATTTGTTTTGTTTATATTAGTTCTTGGTTATCTTCTATATTAATTTTTAGTCAGCGTTTCCATTGTTCACTGTGTTGTGTGTAACATACCAACCAACGTTAAACACTAGAAATCTACATCGTTGAGTTGGAGAGCTCTGCAAGGACGACAACTGATTGGTGGTGCTGACTAGTGAGTATTTGAATGTACTTAATATTGATCTACGCAGCTTTTGAAGTCTGTTAATCATTACAACTGAATTGTTATTTTAAGATTATTTTTGTGCTATTTAGAGTAGACGAAAGTTGGAAGTGTGCGGATTATGGAGTGAATTCTTTGGATTCAGAGCCTCTACATTGGAGAGGGATGAAGGATCAATAGAAGGTTAATATAAACATACAGAGGATACTGTTTTTCAGGTATGTTCATGAATTCATTCATTTTAGCTTTCAGGTTGCACTAAATATCAGAAAGTTTTAGTTTTCAAGTAATAATCGTCTAACTTTTAGTGATTCCTTTAATCATGCACTAAATACCGGTACTTTCAAACACATTCACCTTTTCTTGAATTTCAAATGTTACTCACTTAGAGGTTGTCACTACTCATTATCAAAAGACAAAATTTTCATGAACCCTTGTTTTCATTTGATTTAGTTATTATGATTCAATGCATGCTCTAAAATTAAAAACTAATAAAATAAAAATATAAACCGTTAAAATAGTATTATTTAGAGTTAAAAATAATTCTTATAAAATAATACATAATTATTTCCATTGTTGGTAACTATTTACACAGTATTTTTTTTTTGAATCTCCTAAATAAAATTATTCACGAGTTCAAACAACTTTTATATAAACAAATGCATCATGAGAAAATTTACTAAAAAATTGACTAATGTTTTATTTTTTTAATTTGTCCATGCATAATATAATTGAATATCCACACATTTTTCTTTTTTTATAACTTCAATATTTTCTTTGTACACTCTGACTCCTTTTTAAGAAGAGAAACTATACCTCGTGAAAGTTAGAAGGCTCTAAGTGTGGGTCATAATTTTCAACAAGCTTTAGAATTCAAAGTTCCAAATTGTTAGCAATAAAAGGAAATCAAATTATTTAACACCAGAGTCTTGCAGAAAATGGTAACGACAGAATGAACTTTCCAAGCATACCTGTAGATTGCAAAACTACATTACATCTGCAATAATAAATTGAATTATCACTTTATCTGCAAAGTAAGTGCATAGCAAGCTAGACATCAAATAACTTAGAAACATTCAAGGAGCAATTTCTGCATGTTTGGTTTGGCTTATTTGAAGAAATAATTGCGTTCTTTTGTCACCTTCTTGAGAGAACTTTAGAAAAACAAGCAATTATTACCCCTGAGAAAAGCATATTCCAAACATGACCATTGCATGGCTTCACTTAGATGCAATTGTTGGCATTTGTCCAATCTTCCAAATATAAAGGAAAGGGCAATAACAGGTATAGAACAAAATAAAATACTTTTCATTGGCAACACATAAGGTTTTGCGACTGTCATATATTACATTGAGCATTCATGTGACACAAAATTGAATAGAAGCAAGCATGATTATTGAAGCAATACATACATAGTTTCCAGAGTGGAGAAGGACTGTACAATAACACTAGCCTTGACACAGCCCTGAGAATGATAATTTTGGTCGAAGAAAACTTTGGATCCACAAAATGCGCGTTTCTCACAGATATCTACACAATGATTTGGTCATTACTTTGGGTCTAAAACTTAAAAAGTCTAAGAGGATAACTATTATCAGAGTATATATACAATCATAAAAAGAAATTCGTTCAATGACACTGCTATATTTACAGTCCAAAAAATTTCTCTAGTCAATGAAACAGTGAATTCACTTCACTTACAATGGATCCAACTCTCAAACCATGGAACAGAGTGTAATTGATCAGTCAAAAGAAGCCACACATCATATTGCCTACAGTGAAAATAAGTAACAAATGAATGAATCTGTATTATGTTTCTGTTAATTTTTTTTTTGTCAATGATTTTGTATTATGTTTCAGACATGCCTCCTTACACAAAAAGTCCTTTGGGCTGGAAGCAAGAATAATGCACAAGCCCACTATCTTTAACTTAAATTCAACTTTATATTAGAAGAATGAGAGCTGCAAGGATTGAGTTCTAGATGCTTGATCATAATAGATAGTCTGATATCATGTCATAACTATATCAAGTCTGATGTCATGTCATGAACTAACTATCCCAAAAACTAATGTTCTAGCATATGAATGTTCTCATGTCATATTTCCAAGTTCTTACATATTCAAGATGCCATAAAAGAACCATGCGCAATATTGCACTCTAGTGGTTCCATGATTAAGAAAAATACTATTATTGCTTTCAGAAGTCAAGCAAAGCATAGTCATATAACCCAAACCAAAAAATTGAGAAGGCCAAGAAAAGCCAGACAGAGAAGAAAAAATACTATATGAAAATGAGTATTATATGATGTAACCAAACTAACAATGATGATTGTCGAATCATATTTGAAGGTCAAATCGTCGGATAACAATATAAATTTTTAAAATGTAAGAACATAACTCAATAGAGTCAAGAGGTCTAATGATATAATGCACTTCATAGCAAGTGTCATTCCACACCATGTTAAAATTTTTATAAATAATCTTTGGGAGTTTTGTTTAAAAAGAACAAAAAAAGGGTAGTCAGCTGATTTGAGCTGGTCAATAGTCACCCAAAGCTAACCAATTTGCTTCAAAATATTGTGAAGGGTAAGGATTAGAATAGCTCAAAGACCAGGTGGGTATTGTACACTATGAAACAAAGTTTAAAGGAACACAAACTCCCCTTTTGAAACAACCTAAAATACATTCTACATAGGCATGTTAATTTCTGACTTATAGCTTCATTTTGCTTTTGATGTTTTCCATTCATGCTCTTGGAAATATATAACAAGACATCCTTTGACATATTATCAGGAGCAACTTTGGTGGTTCCATTTGTAAACTATTGGTGGCCTTCTATTCCTAATAATCTATTAACAGAAGTACTTATAATTCTAAACTTTTTTAATATTTTATTATTTAAAATTAATATTTATAAACAGTCCCTATACATTATAAATATTTACGAACAAGCCCTTCCACTTACACCTGGTCTTTTCCTTAACCTCTCCCTCTCCTGCTCCACCTTCACTCCCCTCAGCTCAAACTCCCCTTACGGTTTTCAGCCTCGAAAAGCCAATCTCCATCTCTTTCTCTGACATCTCAACGGTTTTCCCCCATTCAATAGGTCCAATGGTCCATCCACAGGTTCGTTCTTCTTCTCCTTCTCCTCGTTCTTCTTCACTGTTTCTCAAATTTCTCTGTTTTTTCGTTTTTAATCCGAACCCACAGATGTTGTGTGAATTGAATTCTGTGATACAGTTTCAGTTTTTCACTTATGTTTTGCTTTTTTTCTTTCGCAATTGTGGAAGATTCGCATTACAGCTACTTGAAATCGTTAGGTTAGTGTCGGGTATCTTGCATGTTGCCACCCACTCGAGGACTGATGGGCCGAAGATGTCCCCCTCAGAACAACACTTTTAATCCTTTAATTAATAGCACAAGTACAATATAGGAGTCTATCTCCAGCAAGCATTCGAAGTAGATCTCAACTTAAAAAGACAAAGAACACCATCATTAAAACACAGTACTTTGTGTCTGTACACTCATTCAATTTAAACCTAACCTTTTCAAATAAAAAACTAAAAAAGAGTCGTCGGTTTAGGTTCGTTCATGGATCCTTGAGAGGGATCGCTGGTGCGGATTTTGTTGATTGTTTTGTATTGGATGCACGTTGACAATCTGTTTTTTTGTTTGGGTAGGAAGTGGAAATTTTTTCATGGGCTTGAATGTGTATGTTGCAATGTTTTGGGGGAATTGCGGTGTTATGGGTTGGTTGTTTAGTCAGAGTTTGGATTTATTTGATCAGAGTGGTTGGCACTTGTGAACCAAATGGAGATTTTGGCACTTCTGTAATCACCTTCGCTTGCTTCCTACTCCAAATATATTCCTGCAACTTACTTTTCTAACCGTCGTGATTCATGTGCTCACTTACCCCAAAGGATATGTCCAGTCCACAAAGTACACAGAAACACACTTCACATCATCGATGAAATGCTAAAGCTTGGAAGGAGTTTTGAGGTCTTGCAAGGCATCTTGGACATTGTCATGAGGGAAGTGTGGATGCTGCTATGGGCTTTGTGAAGAAGATGGAGGAAATGGGTTTTGAGATGGTGAGGGTTGGGTTGAAGATGAATGTGTTAGGTTTATAATGGAGTTGGCAAGGGAAGAAGAGTAATGGAGTTCTCCATTTTAAGTCAGAATTATTAGATTGAATTAACTGCTTCCGGATCTGCCTCACATGCTTGTTTTTTCATCTTACTATTAGAAAATACCAATCTTACAGTCAAAATTTAATTTTTAACTCATTCTTACTCCAAATTTCATAAAATCAGATTGTATTACTTTAATAAATGATACTTTAATTAAACAATGTTTTTTAAAATTTATAATTGCATCATTTGTCCCTTGGTGAGGTCCTAACTTTACCTTTTACAATAAATTTAATTAATTCCTTAAATAAAGTGTCATTGTTTAAGCTTTTACCTCAATTACATTGATTTTTGGTTTGTTCTTGAAATTTCTTGATTAACAATTTAGGACCCCTTTTTATGTAAGCTAATAACTTTGTCTAAAAGCCTTACTTCATGTTACCTAAGTCTCATTTGTGCCCATAAAAATTTCTAAGTTACTTAATTGATTACACCTTATGCAAGCTTCACTAATTTAGGCCTTACTTGGCTTAGTTCTAATTTAATATTTCTTAAGGTTCTTGTTATCTAGTGGGTAATTGTCACTTTATTGGTCTTTGAAGAGATCTCATAATTTCCTTTCAACTAACAACAATACCCAATATATCATGATTACTAATTAACGAAAATGGGGATATTAAAGAATTGAACCAAGAATTCTTCCATATATATACATATTTTTAGAGAATCTCTCACTTAAAAAATTAAAACAATTTTTTTTTAAAAATGTTTTCTAATATAAGTATCTTATATAGATTAAATATGGACACGTACATAACTCAAATTAGTGTGTGTAAAATTAAAACATTATTCTAAAACTAATCATTATATTAATATATATATATATATATATATATATATATATATTTGTAGAATTTTATATCAATTTATAAATATTTAATATCTTATTCTTATATATTAAAATTGACGTACTACATATTATTAAAATATGTGAAAAGAATGATACTTTGACTGCGTTATCATGGTCATTCAATTTGACACAAATGATCAATGTAACATATAATTGTCAATTAACAGTTAGATTAACAAACAAAATATATTTTATATAATTATTGATAATATTAAATTTCTTATGTGTTTACACAAAATCAAATAAATAAAAATTTAATGAACAATTCATTAGATAAATTTATTTTGAAAATGAAGTAGATGTTGATTATAAAATTATAAATATATAAACCCCTAAATATATCTAATATTTGATATACATTATCAATATAAACACGTAACCTGGTTGAATTAACAAAATTTAATATTTATAGAGTTTTTAAACAGATAATTGTTTTACAGTTACTCATGAAGAGTTAGTAATTTTGGAGGGACATGATTATATTTCTTTAAAATTTGTTGTTGGCAGTAGGTTATAGTTTTGATATTTTTTACCGTCGATTAACTCGCCTCTTGTTCTTAACAGACGTGAAAGCATATAGGCGAAACGAGAATTGAGGAACAAGAATCATGCTATTTCCTAGTAAGTTTTTAAGAAAACCACAAGTTTTTACGTCTGAGGTCAATCATTTGTGTCTCACTTACGCATCTTTGCTCTATAAACTACCCATTGCCACTATTTGTTTTCTTAAACTAAAATGATTATTTCTTCTCTTGACGTTATGATCATCATAATAATATAACATTTCAGTCATAAGCACTTGGATGTCCATAGAAGGACACAGGAGGCTATTTCAAGTGATCCCAGATCCAATGCAGGAATTGTGGGACAAATGGGAGTTGCGAGGACTAATTTTGCTTAGTCTTGTGTCACAAATCATATTGACACTATTGGGAAACCGTACAAATTACAAGCCCAATATTTGTACAAGAGCACTTGTGTGGTCTGCATACTTGTTAGCTGACTGGGTTGCAGCTCTTGCTATGGGTGTCATCTCTAGCAATCTTGGAGACTATTACAATGTGACTTGTCAAAAAAAGAAGGTTAATCCTCAACTAATTGCATTTTGGGCTCCTTTTTTTCTAATGCATCTTGGTGGCCCTGACACAATCACAGCATATGCTTTAGAAGACAATGAACTTTGGCTTAGGCACTTGGTTGGTTTGGTTAGTCAAACAATTTTGACTATCTACATTATTCTTATGTCATGGAAAGGCAATTGGCTTTCACATCTCAGCATTTTGATGCTTGTTGTTGGGTTTATCAAGTACGCGGAAAGGACTTGGTCTCTATATAGTGGCAGTATCAAACACCTTAGGGATTCTTTTCTTCGTTCAAATGGGAATCCTTGGAATAAAGAACAATGGCATGATCAATATCAAAGGAATTTTCTTCGCTTCATTTATATTTTTGTAAGCCTTTTTGCGGATTTGGTATTGAGCCCGCGAGACATTGATCATGATAGAGAAGAATTTCTAAATAACATAGGCTGGGAACATGCTTTTAACAAAGTGGATTTTGAGCTTAAATTGATGTACGATGTGTTCTACACCAAAGCATTTGCAAATTACGGCTTCTTGGGATTGATGTCACGTTTAATCACTTTAACTGGCACTTTAATTGTGCTTGTGTTGTATGCCAAATTAAGTCAAAACAATGAGTACTTAGTTATGGATCACATCATCACATTCTTGTTGCTGGCTGGAGCATTAATATCAGAAATATATGCATTCATATTGTCCATTGCCTCCAAATGGAGAAGGTACTATTTCTCAGTTTCAGGTCTTGAAGACAGTCTTTATATGTACGAATACAATGTGGAGCGTGATTCATCGTCTTTCTTTGGGAAGAAAGCTCCAATTTCTTTTGGGCAGTCTAACTTCTTCACTTTTATTTGCAGCCAAAATTGGAACACGATGGATAATTTCGTTCCAATAAACAAGTTAGAAAAGCTCCTACATGTTAGTCACTGCTCAATCTCTTCAGATTTGAAGAAAAAAATCTTCAGTAGCTTGTACCTCAAATCCGAACGAAGCATGCAGTCAAATTTTTCAGACAACCCTGGATCTGGGAATTGTTCAAAGGGGAAAAATATGTCAATTTTGCTAAGTGAATTTGAATTTCACAGAACCATCATTACCTGGCACATTGTTACAAATCTATTTTATTACCAAAAAGATGGCGACTCAAGTGTTCATTCAAGGAATAGCAAACAAATATCTGATTATATGTTTTACCTCTTGGTTAAGCAACGTTATATGCTTCCAGTGGGGTCAGGGTTGATCACCATTCGTGATGCGATTATCCAAACCGTGAAGTATTTTCCTTTTGTTCCACAAGAACATGAATTAGCTGAAGTTTGCGATGTATTGCTTCAACAAGGTAAACCTACAGCAACAATTGATGAACCCTTAGAAGTGCAAAGTATATTATCTATTCTCTTTCTTCCTGAAACAAAAGACGGTGAATCCGCAAAGGAGCAAAGTGCATCTGTTCTCTTTCAAGCTTGTGAGATTGCAAAAAAGCTTGGTGTAGGAAATAGAGAGAAAATGTGGCAGTTAATTGAAGAATTGTGGGTTGAGATTTTGAGCTATGCTGGTGCTCATGGTAGAGTAGACATGCATGCGCAGCAACTTCGAAGAGGCCTCGAATTGATCTCTCATGTTTGGCTTCTTCAAGCTCACTTTGGTTTGTTGGATCAATTTCGAATAACACCACTTAAGGCAAATGCGTAGATGCTGGTCCCCATGTAAGGAGACTTATCTATATCTATATATATAATTTTGTCAACAAGCCTATGTATGATTACAAAATAAAAATTATAATTTTTAACTAAAAAATTATGGTTTTTTCATTAATTCACATTAACTTACAACTGATATATATGTAATTTTTTCTATAATTATAATGTCTAACATCCTTTGGTAGTTAGAAAATTCTCAAAAATTATACTCTAAAGTCTTTCTAACAACTTGTTAAAATCTTCAAACATGAGAGACTTGCTAAAAATATTTGCAACTTCAGTCTTGAGTCTTCACATAAATTAGTTGCACTTTTTGCTTGACAACACATTCTCTGATGAAATAATGTATCGTATCAATATACTTACTTTTTTTCATGAAACATCAGATTATTTTGTACTCTTTTGTCCAAATTTATTATCTATGTAAATTATAGTACTCTCTCATTTTAGTTCAAGTAAAGTTACTTCAACAATCTTTTAATACAAAGGTAAATAGTATGACATAAGCAAGTAGTTTTAGTTAAATACTCAACCTTACAAATACAAAGTGAGGCCAAGTTGTTTCTTAAAATTCTAAATAAAAGGCACACGATCATCAATAAAAACACAGATTTAGTAATGTTTTTCTATCATCAATATCTTCCAAAATATCACTATTACATAATCTCACAAGCTTAAAGTCAATAAAAAGATAATAAAGTAATCCAAAGTCAATTAAACATTTTAAATAACAAAGAGTTCTCTTTTCAACTTCGAGTTTCCTTAAAGTGAATCACAACCTTACCTCAACTGCATACACATTATCCAACCTTGTACTTATTAAGTGCCTTAAATTTTCTATTAGGCTCTTGAAGAAAACAGGATCTATTTTCTCTCCATCATTAAACTTTGACAACTTTAACCTAACTTTCATTAGTATGTTCATGAATATATACTCAAATATTTTAAACTTCTTCAATACTTCTTTTTTATGCCTCACTTGTGAGACAAAAATATTATTGTGTGTGTGTTTTAGTTTTAATCCTAAGTAGTAAAATATGAGTTCCATATTTATCATCTCAAATTCACAAAACAAATAATATTATATTATTACAAGTAAAAATAACATTATTCACATATAGAATAATAAGTAAAATATCACTATTATAAAAAAAAAAAAAAAAACTTTCATTAACACTAAGAATGTGCTTATGTTTGATTGAGAAATTCATTGTCTTAAAAATTATTTGTCAATACAACTATTCTATGCCCTTGTTTCCAAATTTACAACACACAATATATTTCTTAATATTAACATATTTTATGTCCTTCCACTTCAAAATCTATTGATTTGTCAACGTAGACATCTTTTTGTCTAAAATAAATTATAGAACAAACAATGAGAAAACATTAGTTATTTTTGTAAAAGAAACAAAGCACGTATGTAATTTTAGAAATATTTATTATATTTGTATAAAATAATATTCTAAGAAAATTTTATCCAGGTCATATTAATGTGTTTATAATATTCAAACTTGACGCAAATGTTTGAAATAAAATAAAAACATTAAATAACACGGAGTACATTTTTATAGCAATTGCATAATTTGCTAAACTCTACTTATAAAAAAAATAGAGACTATTGAAATTAGTATGTAAGAGTTATGTTGAAAATTCAAATTGAAAATGTTATTAGAATCTAATTAAAAATATCAAAATTTACTTTTGCATGACTAAAATAATTTACTTTATTGACATACACTTAATCAAGAACTTATTATTCCATAATATTAAAAACTATGAACATGCGAAGTTTCATGAGAAAGTATGAGCTATGTGAAAAATTCAATTTGAAAGTAGGATTGGCTAATAAGTCAACAATTTTAAAATTAACTTTTTACTAAAATAAAGCACTTTATTGACTTACAATTATTCTCTTGACTTAAAAATATTATGCTTTTAAAATAAATAAAAGACTTGAGAATATATCTATTATGAAATCTCAATTTTGTGTAGTTATATTTTAATTTAATATAAAATAATTTTTAAATGATTAATCAAGTCAATTTAAATACAAGCACCTATTTTTAGGTTAAAATAAAATATACATAAACATAATAGATATAATTTTTTTTAATAAAAATATTTAAGAAATAGAATAAAAAATTACCTTTTAAACTAGAAGATTAAAAAAATTCAATAATAAAGAATTAAATTTGTTTATAAAATATATAATAACTTTTTTATGCAAGTTATCTTGATCTAACAATTTTTTCCAACTAACAAATTTTTTTTCTCTGTCCGTTGGTGACAAATCCTCTCAAATTCCCATAAATTTACTGTTCACAGTCTTTTCGTAACAAAGTTACCAACCTCACATTTCCCTTTTCTCTCTCACTCACGTACTACATTCTCATCTACCAACACACAAACATTTCATAGCACCTAATATTTTCTCAATGAAACATTCCCACTTTTTCTTTCACATTCATCATCCCTGCACTTTCTTGATTTTCCTTCATTGACCCACATTCACATGTCTCTTATACACATTTTCAAAGTGTCAAATTCTCCTTTTCATGAAGAGGTTGGTTTCTTATTTCCATTCACTCATACTCGCTCCGTCATACGGATTTTTCCTTCCAAAATCACACATAGAAGTTGGGGAAGAATTGCAGAAGGACTTTTTGTACCTCAGGAATAACCAAGTAAATCTTTTTTTTTTTTTTTGTGAAATTGGCAACATAGCTTTTCAATTGATTTTCTTCGTACCATTGTGCACTGTGTTCTATTTACTTTTTCACCCATCCCAAACAACATGATGTTGGTATTTTCCTTGCTTTGGCTTCAATTCAATAATGCTGAATATTGTGCACAAAGTTCTTTCTTTCTAACTCAATAACAATCTAAAAGATTCAGAGAGAAAACTGAATATACTTGTTCGATTGAAGTTTATTGAAAAATCAAATCATAGAAACTAATACAACAGAAATTTATATAGCTAGCCTGATATAATGTTACTATTAATTACAGACAGCATAGGGAAATAAAACTCACAACAAAATTACTAGAACAATTAATTTTCTAATTAACCATTCTCCATATGGCACTGAGCTGTCTTGCCATTGAATTGTCTTAGTAGCTGGTTCAATTACCCTCCCACAAGCTGATGGGTGGTAGACATCAACCATACCAAGCTTGGATAATGCAGAGGAAAAAGTATTAGGAGACAAAGGCTTAGTGAGGATATCAGCCAATTGGTTGCTAGATGATACAGGGAGCAATTTGCATACACCATTGAGAAACTTCTCTCTTATGAAGTAGCAATCTATCTCAAGATGCTTTGTTCTATCATGGAACACTAGATTTGTAGCCAAATATCTTGCACTTTGGCTATCACAGAATAAGGCAGTAGATTTATCACATTTGATGTTGAGATCATGTAAGATACAGGTGAGCCAAAGCAACTCTGAAGTAGCATCACCTATGGCCCCTATATTTAACTTCTGTTGAAGATCTAGAAACTGTGAACTGTTTCTTCGATTTCCAGCTTGTTAGAGACTTCCCAAGTTGAAAGCAATACCTAGACACTGACCTACGACTGTTTGGATACCTTGCCCAATTAGAATCATTCTATCCAAGTATTTGCAATGATGAATCTCTAGGCAAAAATATGCCTAGGCTTAAGGTATCTGAACACTTGTGTGGCAGTTGTATAGTGTCCCTATGTAGGAGCATGCATAAATTGACTAAGCTGTTGTGTAGAAACAATTATGTCTGGTCTAGTATTGGTAAGGTATATCAACCTGCCAACCAGTCTTCTATATGCTAGAGGATCTGAATAGGGCTCTATGGAAGAAAAAGGATCCTTGCATGAAGCCTAGGGTTCATAATGATGGATTAGAGAGGCCTTGATAGGTTTGCAAGCACAGAGACCTACATCCTTTATGAGATCTAGGCAATATTTTTTTGACTGATTGAGATTCCCTAATCATTGCGATGAATTTTAAGCCTAAGAAAAAATTTCAGTATGCCTAAATCCTTGATTCCAAAAGCTTAATGAAGTTTAGACTTGATGGAATCAAAAGCATCAATGTTATCTCCAACTAGAATAACATCATTTACATATACCAATAGTGCCATGAAAGATGGAGAGTGTTTGTTAAACAAAGAATGGTCAAATTCTATTTGAACAAACCTAAGTTGTGTAAGGAACTTAGTAAGTTTCTCATGCCAACTATGACTAGCCTGCTTGAGCCCATAGAGAAACTTGAGCAATCTACAAACTTTTCTTGGTTTTGAAGAAGATATTCCCTTGGGTATACACATATACACTTCCTCTTTCAAATGACCATGAAGGAAGACATTGTCAACATCAAGTTGATGAACATGCAGTGTTTAATGGGTGCCAAAGCAAGAATGAGTCTGATTGTTATCATCTTGACCACAGGAGAGAAAGTTTCCATGTAATCCAGGCCCTTAATTTGAGTGAATCCCTTAGCTACCAAGCGTTCCTTATACCTTTCCACTGATCCATCTGCCTTCCTTTTGATTTTGTATACCCATTTGCAGCTAATAGGAGTTACATGAGGAGGACAATTATTACTTTCATAGTATGTGCACTAAAGTAATCTCACTAACAAATGTACTAGTATGATTGTAGTAATTTATAAAATTTTTTGAATCAAAGTTGAGTCCCAAGTATCATCTTTAGGAATTGGTTTTTTCCATTATCACTTCACAAATCAATATTTTGTTGAGCCATACAATTGATTAGAGAGTTTGTATTATATAAAAATTAAAAATAACAAGTATAGAAAGATGTAAACTTGAAGTAAAACAAAACTACAAAAATTGTAATGAGATGAGATGTATGAATGGATTAGAGTTAGGAAATTACTTCACCAAAATTTCAGTATTAACTCAATCATTTTTTGAACATTTAAGTATTTGATTTGGTTGACAATCAGTTTTACAAATTATTAGTCAAAGGTTAATTCCTTAACTCAATGACCCGAACATTCAACTTAATCACCCTAATCCCTTAGGTGTAATTCAATTAAGTGTTGCATTAGGAATTAGAAACTATAAGATTGCAAGATTGAGATGACTTATCCTTAAGAAATCACTAATCTTGGTAGTTAATTCAAATCTAAGAAACAAATCCAACTTATATTGGTAAAAGTTTCTCTTTGATTAGTCAATTGAATTTTTGT